TCTGCCCTTTCTAACAAAGAAAACAGGAAGTCCCATTTTAAGAAGTCAAGTCAAAGAGATATTTAAATTGTACTTAGGGAACCCATAAATCACTATTTTTTTATATCTTTTAAAAAAATGATTCTGCTTTTATGGAAATTAAGTAACTCCTAAATGTCAAATTGAGTTCTGCATAGTTTACTGTAGATTTAATTTTTAGTAATTGTTTCACCTTCTGAGTAGCTCACACCAAAGATGTAGAAAATGCATTTTCTTATAAATTATACAGAAATTAAGTATATCTAGATAATTCCTACGTTTTGTATTTTCCAGAACAATTTATGCCTAAACTTAGACTCTTGTAAATTGGTAAAACAAACAAACAAACAAACACAAACAAACAAAAAAAACCCCCAACACCCAGGTCATTTGTCTTATCAAGTCTTGGTGCTTATGGAAAATACTCTTGAGGACAATGTCCACCTGTTGAGTAGCACAGAGGAAGGGTCCGAGGCTCACACACAGACACTACTCACGTGGAGCAAATGTGCTTTGCTAACATAGCGATCTAAATTACTTTCCTCAGAAATGTTCAGGTTCGGAAACTAAAGAAGTTTGCCAAGCTTGGAAATGGGTTGGTCCAAGCATCACAAAAAGACAGACGACACCGAGAAGTGGCAGCTCTGAGAAGGGACACACCCAACAGCATTCGGTAGAACAAAATACTGGCATCTCAACAAGGCAGTGAAAGATAGGAGAATGTGTGTCCCTCTGCGGGGGCCAGATGGTCGAGTACCATGGTGCTCAGATATGTTTGTGCCGTGGAACCCTTCTTCTTGTGTGCTCCTACTTGGTATCCCAAATACAGAAGTGGAGGTAAGACAGGAAATGGGTTTTTCTCTTTCTCCCCTGCTCTCCCAGCCCCTTCCTCCCTCCTTTCCTTTCTTCCTAGACTAAGCTGTTTCATATGCTCAAGCCTCTACCCTTCCCTTGTTATTTTGTTATTTATTGTCCATGGAGATCAGGACTTATGGATGGTGGGGACAGTCATATCAAGCCCAGCCTCTGGATTTCATCTGCAACATCTCGTATTTACGCTATAGCAAGACTGTCATGATTCACTTGGGCAAGTAGTTACACACTCTTTTGTACGGTGGTCAGGCTTACCTTCAAATAGCAGATTCCACACAGCAAATGCAGAAGGAATGAGGAAAATAAAAAAATCACCATTGGACCCTACAGTGACAATCACAGCAGGGATGCACTAATGAACGCTCAAGGCGGTGGGGAAAAACTTTAAGAGAAACAGGATATTTGCATAGTTGCAAGTATCTCCCCTTCAAGTAGTTATTAAATACTGTGGCGATTCTAACATTTGTCCCCAAACACCTGACATCATCTGCAGGAGGTGGAGCCTGATCACCCCCTGGAGGGTGGGCGGCCTGCAGCGACTCTAGTGAATAGAGTATGGAGAAGGGGACACAAAGACTCACAGGAGAAAGGCGACCCACGCTCCCCTCACCTCAACAAGGTTGCCAGCACCACTCATCAGCAGAGTCAATGCCCTGTGCCCCAAATTTTGCGTGATGAGGAGGGCTCTGCACCTCTGAGGGATCCTTCTCCAAACCAAAACCTCAGTCCAGTGAGAAAACAGCAGACAAACCCAAACTGTGGGACGTCTTACAAAACCCCTGACCAGTACTCCCCCAAACTGTCAAGGTCGTCAAAAACAGGGGAGGTCTGATGAGAAATCATCACAAATCAAAGGAGACCCAACGAGTGAACGCCTGTGGTGACCAGGGCCCTCTCTGGAACATCGAAAGAACATTGGAAGAAAAAATGATGAGGTCCTCAAGGGTGCAGATTAGAGTTCTGTACAAATGTTAATTTCTCAGCTTTGATAAATGGACCCTGGTCATGTAAGGTGTAAACATTATGAGGAAATGTGGTCTATCCATACAACAGAATATTACTCAGCCTTAAAAAGGAAAGAGATTCTGGCACATTCTACAACATGGATATAATATCTTTGAGGATATTATGCTGAGTGAAATAAGCCAGCCACAGGAAAAAAAAATTCATAGAAACAGTAAGTAGCATAGTGGATGCCAGGCGCCGGAGTGGGGAAGAAATTGGGAGGTGTTGTTTGATGGGTTCAGAGCTTCAGTTTTGCAAGAGGAAAGTTTCTGCAGATGTGTTGTACAATGATGCCCTGTTAGTGAACACTCTTGAACTGTACACTCAAGAGTGGTTAGGATGATGAATTTAGGTGATGTGTCTTTTACCACACAAATTGAAAAAAAGCCATGTCTCTTCCCAAGGAAACGAGCCAACTTAAAAAGTTCTAAAGTTCTCTTGCTTCTTCCCCTTCTATACTGTGGAAGATAGATAAATAAAAATCTTGGAGACAAATTATCCCACTCTGCCAGGAGGAAGAACCGCACATCCTCTGCCTTGAGTTCCTGTTGAGTTTCTTATATTCCAGAATAATAGGAATAGCAAAACCCTCTTTGTTTGTGTTCAGTTCTGCAGCTGTGTATTGTGTTTGGGGCTTTGGCGGTTTGCTATTCTTTTCAACAAAGCTGACTTTGCCTTCTTGTCAACACCTGGGGCACCTACAGTGCTGATGCCTCGACCAGATACTTCCTGTTTTTCATATTTGCTCTGTTGTCCTTATTTCACCGTGGACAGCGCGGCTTTTCCATCTCTGATCCCATTATCCAAGGACGCGTAAGCTCTGTTGTAGGTTTCTCCTTTGTCATGGAAGGTGCGTGGTATGGAATGGTGGCAGCATTCGGTGCTTCTAGGCGTATAAATGACGGGAAGCAGATACAGCATAAAAATAACCATCTATGTCCCAAATGTCCGCACAGAAGTAACACGACCAAGAGACCGAAATGTTTGTAGTTGGGATATCTAAATAAAAATATCCCATCTCTCTGTTTCTCCCAGATAGTAGAGTTTTCATATTGTGGAACATCAGGTGTCAGAGGGCGAGGGCCCTCCGTTGGCCTCTCCTCAGGAGTTGGCTCTGATGCCGGCCCCTCACCCCCCCCCCAGCTGCTCACACCAGAACCTGGGGTGTCCTGGGGCTCTGTGAGTCCTTCCCTCCCACGGCCGGCTGGTGGCCAATTCCGGTAGCATGACCGTGTGGCTCTCCCTGTGCACTCCTTGTCGCCGCTGTGTCCACCTGCATTTGGTTACCATCAGGGTATGGTCAACGGCCTCCCCGCTGCCCCCAGTCCCATGTCCTCGCCGTCCCACCGAAATCCAAGCCGGTCTCCTTGGGGAGCCACGACAGTCTCCCTAGAAGAGAGATTTGGTCTGGTCCATGCACTTCTTCAAACATTCCATTGCGTTCCCTGTATCTCTCCGCAAGACTGGGGTGAGACAGGCAAGTGCCCTACTAAGCCAATAGTCTTGCAACCCTCAAATCTATGTCCTTTAAAGCTTGTTCAACATTGGTTTCATGAGGCTGACAGAAAGTGTTGCTGTTTTTCTTTTTAACAAAGATTATCACTGTTTTGAATACAGTAAGGGATTCACTACATGCACTGAATATTAACACAACGATAGTCTTACTGAATTGTGTTTCGTTCTGCAGCATTCCTATATTCAACACACCAGCCACCACGTTTCTCTAGTGCCCTTTTTCTAAATTCTATTTTTATTTATGGCATGCCCTGCAGTTGCCAGAACAAGGCATCACAAGGATGTTGCTGACAGCTCGGTCTGCGCCCGCTGAGACTGGGTCAGCGGCATTCATCCAAACCCTTCTCCATCAAGGTCGTGGGTGGCTTCATGGGTGGCAGCAACACATTTCCCCAGTTTCATATGGTGGAAAATGGAGGAGCCTGGAGTTAGCAGACAGCCTGTCTGCAGCTTATCCCAAAGATTGTTTCCTGGAACAGCTGCTCCCCTGGTCCTCTCTGTAACCGGCCTCCAGCCTTTAGGGTAGGCTCCCGACCCCTGCTGGGAGCACAGCACCCTCATCCACACTGAGCCAGCTCTGTGTCTCCACCGGCCTTCCTGGGCCCCGTTTTGTTCTGTGTCCCAGGCCAGTGCAACTGCTTGAAGCCTCAACAAGAGCCGAGTGCTCCCCCCTTGAATTCCTCCCACTGCCCGGCACAGGGAGCCCCTGCTCTATCTTGATGAGTCCTGTGCACGCCTCACCCATCTCGTGGGATGGGAGCCCACGAACGCTGTGTAACTAGGGGATGTGTCATGGAGGGGCCACGTAGTGACGTGTGGAGAGGGTGAGGTGGCCGACAAGCGGCGGGGAAGCACGGGGTCAACACTGTGAGGGAACATGGGTGCCAGCACCCCACAACCTCCTCCTCCCACCCCCAGATCTTCTGCCCCTGCCTTCCCTGGGGGCTCCACCAGAAGCCACATGGCTGAGCTCCCCAGGGCAAGCACAGGACGGAGAAAGATGCAGGGGTTTATCTGGTGGACAAATATCACCCATCACGTTTTAGATCAAGTATAATTTCCATAATGCCTGTCTGTTTCCACCGGGCAGCAGGCACTCCCTCCATGTCTTCCCATCACCACAACTTACAAAAAGGGGCTGTGTGATTGCAAACTTGTCGGTCTCCTCCCTGGATGGTGAGTTCCTCCAGGGAAGGGCTGCCTTTTGTGTGCCCTTGGCTTTAGGGCTTTCTTTCTGATTTAGTCTGATGGCACTCTCTCTGCCATCAGACTGCTCCTCCAGAGCTCAGGGCTGGGGGAGCTCACACATCTGAAGACTCACGGTATAGGACAGCTGGGAAATGGACACGCCATCAAGTGGTTATTTGAATAGAGTCTTACAAGGAAGGAATTCTTTTCTTTACAAAACAAAGTGTGAAAACAAGCTTTAAGAGCTCTTATAGAAAAGTACCATAAATAATTTATATGTAGAATCATTTTTGTTGTTGAGAATTACTTTAGAGATCACGTGTGTTGTATTTTTATACCCCCTTCTTAATATTCAAAATCCATATGGGCACTCACCTGTTATCATTCCCTGCCCATGAATTCCTATCAAATAGTTCCCTATGCTTCTTCTCATTTGAGTCTAGACTGGTTTACTTCCTGGCTCCTTTATGGTGTATCCTCATCGTTTCATATGATGAAATTCATTATGATTCATTAAATTTGCTCATAAAAAGAGCTTGATATCCCCCTGGGGCAAGTTCATTAAGAGAATCTCTTTGGTTCAATTATGAATCATTTTTTCCCTGAATCCAAAGGCAGCTCCTAAGATGCAACCGTGAGCAAGGAGTCCTCACGTGGCAGATTTGGGAATCCAGCAGCCAAAAATCAGGGCCTGCACAGCAATTTCTGAATAAAAATATCACTGTGGGAGAGGGAGCGCCATATGGCTGTCTGGTGGTGCTCTATGCTCGGCGTCAACTGAATTTCCAAGGACCGACTTGCACAGAAGGTAATTATGCCCTTGCACACTGTGCTGGGATGTGTCACACCGGGACTCTGAGGGGCTGGGGATGCAGTTGCCCATAGATCAGAGTGAGCCTGCTTTGTTATTACCCATTGAAGGATCACGGACGCTTCCCTCCAGAAAGCCACAGTTTGGAAGATAAAAATTTAGATCTAAGACATTTCTCCTGTATCACCCTTTCTTCCAAAATTAAAGGGAATTCCCCTCTCTGAGTTGGCGTTTCATTGCTGTTTCCATCTGGTGGTCTCTCTCCTTCACACAGTGAGCGAAGAAGGACATTTCCCCAGTTCCTTCCCAGATGACTTCAGGAGTGTTATAGATAATGACAGAGTTTACGCTCTCACCGAAGGGAAAGAAAGAGCTGGTTTTCAGAACACATTTCAGGAGAGGGTCTCTGGGTGTTATCTACATGCTATTTCTGCAACTGGTCTCCACTTGAAAAATATTTGTAGCCTTGACAATATTTTCACACTTAGTGAAAAATACACCATTTGCCCCTTGCCAAGTGCGTCCCATTTCTGAATCAGGTTATTTATTCATCTGATTTAGCAGCTGCCAGCACAATGGCAGGATGCAGAGGGAGGGGAGATGCTGTTCAGAGTCACAGGATGTGGTGCCCCAGGGCAGGGAGCGTGCCCCCCTCCTCGCCCCCCGCAGGAACAGAGCAGAGAGGCTGGGAAGGAACAGCCTTCCAGCCTTCCAGCAGAAGGGAAGGGGTGTCCCCTCCATTGTGGTTCTCTGCAGTCTCCTCTCTTCCTGCTCTTCCTGCTCCCGGCTCTCAGCTAAGGCAGGGGTGAGGGCAGGAGGGTCTGGGGACCCACCCAGCCCCGCACTCACTGTCCTCTGGACCCTCCCATCTTGGGTCCTCTCTGCTCAGAGCCGCCGCCCAGGTAGAAAAGGGCACGCCCTGAGACACGGGGAGAGTTTCGGTTAATAATTTAGTCCCAGTTGCAGACTTGGAGTGCATCAAAAGTAAAATAAGTGACCAAAATATTTTCCCAGAAGGGTCACTTAAGACAGACGAGTTAGACCCTATGCAAAGAATTCACTGTGAAGCCATCTCTTCCACTCCTCCTGAAAATAAAAGTTACTTATCTGTGTTTTGTAAATAAACTAAATTATTTTCTCTCTTAAAATTCTCTTTTTGATTTTGTTTAACAGCTTTATTGAGATATCACTGACATATACAATTTTGTGTTTTTAAGGTGTAAGACGTGATATTTGATATTTGCATATACTGGGACATGATCACCACCATCAATATAATTAACACACCCATCACCGCACATAGTTACCATTTCTGTGTGTGTGTGTGTGTGTGTGTGTGTGTGTGTTATGAGAAGAGTCCGTCTAAGATCTTCAAGTACACACTCAGTGCGTTAACTAGAGTCACCATGCAGGACATTAGGTCCCGAACTTATTACCTGGTAACTGGAAGTTTGTGCCCTCTGACCAGCGTGTCCGCATGCCCCCACCCCAGACCCTGGCAACCACCATTCTCCTCTCTGCTCCTCTGAGTTTGGTTTAGATCCCACATAGAAATGAGCTCCTGCAGTGTTAGTGTTTCTGCATCTGGCTTATGTCACTTAGCATTATAATCCTCCAGGTCCATTTATGTTGTCACAAACGGTGGGATTTCCTTGTTTTTAACCTTTAATAAACTTTGAGGTTGTGAAATGAGAGGGTTGGGGCAGAGGAATAATTATCTTTGATCTGATTAACTTTTATAGGCACTATTGGTGTCATTCCCGTGGCTGTTCCCATCTGTTGCTTCTAACATGATTAATTTTTATACTTTGTATTCAGGAATAATTATAGAGTAAGAGGAAGTTGTAAAAATAGTTTTGGAGAGTCTCAGGTCCCCTTAACCCACCTTCCCCCCATGACATAGTCTTAACAAGAGTGCAGTTCAAGTTCAAAACCAGGATACTGGCACGGCGCATCGCTGGGAACCAGACCATGCAGACTTTATACAATGCTCCCCATTTTTCACATGTGTGCATGCGTCTGTGTGTATGGGGCGGGGAGGGCCCATGTAGCTTTATCCCTGGAATGGATTTCTGTAAGTACCACCCTGATCAAAATGCAGAGTCTTTTCATCCTCCTCACAGAATAGCTCTCTCAAGCTGCTCCTTTGTCCCACACCACAGCCCCACCCCTGTCCCACCAACCTGTTCTTCATCTCTAGGGCCATTTAAAGAATGCTTCAGAAATGGAACCATACAGGATGGTACCCATTTTCCACCAAGCATAATGCCTTAGTGTCCATCCAAGTTGCTGTATGTATTACAAAGTTTGTTCCTTTTTATTGCTAAACAGCATTCCATCCTAGCACAAACCACAGTTGGGTGACGTTTCACCCATCGAAAAAAAATTGGTCTTGTTTCTAGATGTTTTTTCTATTAGGGAGAAAACTGCTATGAGCATTCATGCACAGGTTTGTTTTTTTGATGTTTGTTTGTTAGTTTTTTGGTGCACATAAGTTTTGATTTCTCCAGGGTAGATGTCCAAGAGTAAGATTGCTGGTTTATAGGGAAGTGTGTTTCGTGTTACAAAACCCTGCCAGACCACCTCCTGGAGTAGTCACACCATGGTCCTTCCACCAGCAACAAGTGACGGACCCAGTGTCTGCCTCCTTGCCAGCACGTGGTGCTACCCCTGCCTGTTATTTTCGGTGTCCTACTGGGTCACGGGGAGTGACATCGCACTGTGCTTTTCAGTTTGCACATCTCCAAAGGCTGATGGTGTTGAACATCATTTCATACCTATTTGCTACCAGTATCTGCTGTTTATGTCTTTGCCCGATTCCTAACTGGGTCACTTGTGTTTTTATTGCGGAGATTTGAGAATTCTTCAGACATTTTGGATACAAGTCCTCTCTCAGGTATGTGGTTTGCAAATTGTATCCCCCAGCCTGAGGCTTGTCTTTTCATGCTCTTCACAGGAATTTTCACAGTGTGAAAATTTTTAATTCTGATGAAATCCACTTTATTAATTTTGGGGTGGGGCTTCATGCTGTACTAGCCAGGCCTAAGAACTCTGTGCCCAGACCTAGATCCTGAAGATTGTCCCTACTTTTCTTTTTTTTCTTTTTTTTTTTGAAAGAGACAGAGAGAGAGATTGAGTGCGCACTTGAGCAGGGGGAGGGGCAGAAGGAGAGGAAGAGAGAGAATCTCAAGCAGAGCCCAACACGTGGCTTAATCTCACGATCCTGAGAACATGACTTGAGCTGAAATCAAGAGTTGGGTGTTTAACTAACTGAGCCACCTAGGTGCTCTAGTTAATTGGAATTTAAATAAAAGCTTTAAAAAAAAGAAAGAAAAACTATCTTTCCTCCATTAAGTTGCTTTGGATTGTCTGTGTGGATCTACCGTTGGCTCTTTACTCTGTGCCATTGGTGTCTGTGTCTGTCCCTCCACCCACACGACACTGGTTCTGCAGCTGGTTAGGGAGTCTTGAATCGGAGTGATGTGCATGGCTTCATTCTTCCTCAAAATTGTCTTAGCTGTTCTAGTTTATCTTTCCATGTCAGTTTTAGAATAAACTTTTCTGTATCTACACAGCATTGTGTTGAGATTAGGAATTGCAGAGACCATGTGGGGGCAACACGGTATCTTTACTAGGTTGAATCTTCTGATCCCTGAACACAGCATGGTTTGCCACTTATTCAGATCTTCCTTGGTTTGTAATATGATTTTTAATTACACAGAGCTCTTCTGTTTTCATAGATAGGTTGAAATTCAGGAAATTCTTTTTTCTTAAAGATTTTATTTATTTATTTGACAGAGAGAGACACAGCGAGAGATGGAACACAAGCAGGGAGTAGTGGGAGAGGGAGAAGCAGGCTCCCCACGGAGCAGGGAGCCCGATGTGGGGCTCGATTCCAGGACCCTGGGATCATGACGTGAGCTGAAGGCAGACACTTAACAACTGAGCCACCCAGGTGCCCGAAATTCAGGAAATTCTTGGTAATGGCCTTGGAATTATACATGGTGATGTGCTAGAGCCAGGTCACCCCAACTCATGAGGGCCAATTGTGCACATTTCTTTCCAGTTCTTAGGTCCATGATGTCACCATGGTAGCTTGAGGTTGGCCATGGACAATGGACAAATGGACAGGGGACAAGTACTTCCCCTCTGCTTTTTGGAGGGCATTGTTGAAGGAGGGTGAGAAACTAAATTTAAGAGTATCCCTCTAGTGGAAAATCATCTGAGATTCAGACACTGGATCAATTTGAGCCAAAAATTCTCTCTAGTACATAGCCATATTATGTTAGGAATTCTTGAATTCAGATGGCCAAAGACTTAACTTAAGCTTGTATTCACTTCGGAAGTAGCAATTTGTTAGAAAGATTTGTAATTACACAAGGGCAAATGGGTCCTAGTAAAGATATAGCCACAATTACTCATCCTTCCCTCATCAAATAAAACCTTAATCATAGCCCTATTGATTGCCAAAAGTAATCCTGTTGGCTAAAATTAGATCTTTTGATATTAACACACATTGAGCTGTTTGGTCATTTAGGTGGTAATTTTGATCCCCATAGGAAGTTTGGAAATGGAGAGATTTGCTCATTCAGTGAGAGAAGGTAAGCTGCCACACCTCCTCTCCTCCCTTGGCAAGCCTGTGAGCACTTGGCTCAGATACTACAGACCTAATGATTTGGAATCAGCCTCCCACCCCCATGTTTGAACTCAGGCTCTAATGGCTTCTCTGGTCTTTGACTTTAATAAATCTCTTTATTCATTTTTATTATATATATTTTTTCATTATTACAACAGTCATGCTGTAACTCCAAAATATGCTCAGAGCTTTCAAAATATTGGGAAAGACTAACAGGATACTTTGCCTGAGCTCTTACTTCAAGGATCCAGAAACAGTAACTATTAACATTCACATGCATCATACTTCTAGTCTTCCTTCTCTATGCTAGGTTATAATTATTCAACTGTCTTGTTTTCCCCTTTATTGCTATTTTCCCCTCAGAAATATGACCTCACTTTTTCACTTAACAACATTTTGTAAATACTGTTCTTTGTCATAAAATAATGTTGTATGTGGACACAGAGAGACATAGTAATAGCTGCAAATGTGTGGAGTGGTGAGCAAGAAGCAATGGACAAAACCCTCCCTGGGTCTGACAATAAAGTAAGAGGATGTTGCATTAAAATGTAGTAGGAAAGACTATCACCAAATTTTGGCAAAGAATTCTCTGAGGCTATGATTCTGTTTAAGACACAAGAAGTATCTGGATTAAAAATTTAAAAAGTGAGAGGTGGAAGAAAGGGTTTGCGTGGAACTAGGGGGAGCCGCAGAGTTTTTGTTCAGAAGTGTTTATCGTGACGGATAGTTTATCATGTTGGGTCAAGAGGGAACCAGTTTATCTTGGACGTGTCTAATACAATGCAGCCTGGGGGCCAGAGAGGAAACCGGACAGCCTTTCAAGGTCCCTCCGAACCTGTGATTCTGTGATTAGTTGAATAATTGCTCTAAATTGTAATTATTTTTCCCCTTCAGGGTAGGCAGTATGCATGAAGGCAGTTGTGGAGAAATATGAACAGTGCACACTCCAGCGGGTCACTGGGGCCCTGGGATTCGCCTACTGAGATCTGCCCGGAGTCAGGGTATGTTGTTAAGCAACTTCATTTCGGATCACATCATCCATGGCACCCTTACCAGCCCGCCTTTACCCGATCAATAATTGGTAGTTTACATATAACAATATTAAAATGTTACAGAGTCTTTGGTAATTATTGTCTTCATTATTATAATTATCTAGCAAAAACAGTATCTGGAGAGAAAGCTTTCCCTTGGACACAGCTTAGTACTGGATGGCTATGAACCGGGCCATGAATTGATGAGGATAGAGATGAAGCCGGCCTGGAATTTGCTACACATCCGCCCAATACCCCACCTCTCTCTGCCATAAGACGGCCCATCACAGGCCCTGGGTTCCTCCTCATTTTCTTCAATCTTTGCTCTATTTATAGTTGAGGACCCTCCATTTGCCCCTGTTGAAATACATTAGTTGCTCTAAACGCGATGTCCCCCATGTGGGTGGAGGGGGTTGACATCCACAACTGCAGAGCACAGTCGTGGGAACCTGAGCATCCTGGCTGGAGAACTACCTGACGGACCAGAAGGGGAGTAATGACACGATGCACAACACAACTGCAGGAAGGGGTCAGAGTGCTCACGGATCAGATGTTCCAGAGAAAGAACAGAAACCTACCCACAGGAGCTGGTGGTGGCCTATGACCTGAGGACGGCTCTGGTGGGTCTCTTTCCAATAACGAACACTGGGCCGGTGGATGATACTTGCTATACATATATGTACATACACACATGTATACACATATATACATATGCCTTGATAAGTGGTATAACCATTTTATATCAATTGAATTTTGCTTCTTTTAATGATTGTATGGGATATGATGTCACTCTTCCCACGGCATATGTGTTTTGAGTTTCTCCTAATGTTAGAGAGTTTTGCATAGGGTACTGAAAATCTCTCTTGCTCAGTCTTCCTTGGGAAAAAGTGCTCAGTCAGAAGACTAATCATTGTCTCTCTGGTTCCCCAGAGTATGGGCTCCTTCTGGGGTCAAGCAGTTCCCAGACCGCCTGCACTGAGCCTAGGGCTCTGATCCCATGGCGTTATCCACTGTTCCCAGCTCCCCTCACCCATAACTACCCTCCCTACAACCTTGACACAGCTGGAGAGCAAACAGATGAATGAACGATACCAAGTGGATGATATGAAATCCTACCTGGGTGACTCCAACCCACACAAATTTCATCTTTCTTGAGACATCAGTTTCCTGTTATATGTAATACTCCATGGACTCTTTATTCCCCTACATTTAACAATGCACTATAAACTATCTTTTTTTTAAATTTTTTTATTGTTATGTTAATCACCATATATTACATCATTAGATTTGATGCAGTGTTGTTAATCACCATATATTACATCATTAGATTTGATGCAGTGTTCCATGATTCATTGTTTGTTCATAACACCCAGTGATCCAAGCAGAACGTGCCCTCCTCAATACCCATCACCAGGCTAACCCATCCCCCTACCCCCCTCCCCTCTAGAACCCTCAGTTTGTTTTTCAGAGTCCATCATCTCTCATGGTTCGTCTCCCCCTCTGACATACTCCCCTTTTCTTCCTCTCCTGTTATCTTATTCTTTTTCTTTTTTCTTAAAATATGTTGCGTTATTTGTTTCAGAAGTACAGATCTGTGATTCAACAGTCTTGCACAATTCACAGCACTCACCGTAGCACATACCCTCCCCAATGTCTATCACCCAACCACCCCATCCCTCCCACCCCCAACCATTCCAGTAACACTCAGTTTGTTTCCTGAGATTAAGAATTCCTCATATCAGTGAGGTCATGTGATACATGTCTTTCTCTGATTGACTTATTTCACTCAGCATAACACCCTCCAGTTCCATCCACGTCGTTGCAAATGGCAAGATCTCATTCCTTTTGATGGCTGCATAATATTCCATTGTGTATATATACCACCTCTTCTTTATCCATTCGTCTGTCAATGGGCATCTTGGCTCTTTCCACAGTTTGGCTATTGTGGACATTGCTGCTATAAACATTGGGGTACACGTACCCCTTCGGGTCCCTACATTTGTATCTTTCTGGTAAATACCCAGTACTGCAATTGCTGGATCGAACGGTAGCTCTAATTTCAACTGTTTGAGTAACCTCCATACTGTTTTCCAGAGGGGTTGCACCAGCTTGCATTCCCACCAACAGTGTAGGAGGGTTCCCCTTTCTCCACATCCCCGCCAACATCTGTCGTTCCCTGACTTGTTCATTTTAGCCATTCTGATGGGTGTGAGGTGGTATCTCATTGAGGTTTTGATTTGGATTTCCCTGATGCCGAGCGATGTTGAGCATTTTTTCATGTGCTTGTTGGCCATTTGGATGTCTTCTTTGGAGAAATGTCTGTTCATGTCTTCTGCCCATTTCTTGATTGGATTATTTGTTCTTTGGGTGTTGAGTTTGATAAGTTCTTTATAGATTTTGGATACTAGCCCTTTATCTGATATGTCATTTGCAAATATTTTCTCCCATTCTGTCAGTTGTCTTTGGTTTTGTGGACTGTTTCTTTTGCTGTGCAAAAGCTTTTCATTTTGATGAAATCCCAATAGTTCATTTTTGCCCTGGCTTCCCTTGCCTTTGGCGATGTTTCTAGGAAGAAGTTGCTGCGGCTGAGGTCGAAGAGGTTGCTGCCTGTGTTCTCCTTTAGGATTTAGAAGGACTCCTGTCTCACGTTTAGGTCTTTCAACCATTTGGAGTCTATTTTTGTGTGTGGTGTAAGGAAATGGTCCAGTTTCATTCTTCTGCATGTGGCTGTTCAATTTTCCCAACACCATTTGTGGAAGAGACTGTCTTTTTGCCATTGGATATTCTTTCCTGCTTTGTCAAAAATAAGTTGACCATAGAGTTGAGGGTCCATTTCTGGGCTCTCGATTCTGTTCCATTGATCTATGTGTCTGTTTTTGTGCCAGTATCATACAGTCTTTATGATGACAGCTTTGTAATAGAGCTGGAAGTCCGGAATTGTGATGCCGCCAGCTTTGCTTTTCTTTTTCAGTATTCCTCTGGCTATTCGGGGTCTCTTCTGGTTCCATACAAATTTTAGGATTATTTGTTCCATTTCTTTGAAAAAAGTGGATGGTATTTTGATGGGGATTGCATTGAATGTGTAGATTGCTCTAGGTAGCATTGACATCTTCACAATGTTGATTCTGCCAATCCATGAGCATGGAACGTTTTTCCATTTCTTTGTGTCTTCTTCAATTTCTTTCATGAGTATTTTATAGTTTTCTGAGTACAGATCCTTTGCCTCTTTGGTTAGATTTATTCCTAGGTATCTAATGGTTTTGGGTGCAATTGTAAATGGGATAGACTCCTTGATTTGTCTTTCTTCTGTCTTGTTGTTGGTGTATAGGAATGCCACTGATTTCTGTGCATTGATTTTATATCCTGCTACTTTACTGAATTCCTGTAGGAGTTCTAGCAGTTTTGGGGTGGAGACTTTTGGGTTTTCCACATACAGTATCATATCATCTGCAAAGAGTGAGAGTTTGACTTCCTCTTTGCTGATTTGGATGCCTTTGATTTCTTTTTGTTGTCTGATTGCTGTGGCTAGGACTTCTACTACTATGTTGAATAGCAGTGGTGAGAGTGGACATCCCTGCCGCGTTCCTGACCTTAGGGGAAAGGCTCTCAGCCTTTCCCCATTGAGAATGATATTCGCTGTAGGTTTTTCATAGATGGCTTTTATGATATTGAGGTATGTACCCTCTATCCCTATACTCTGAAGAGTTTTGATCAAGAAAGGATGCTGTACTTTGTCAAATGCTTTTTCTGCATCTATTGAGAGGATCATATGATTCTTGTTCTTTCTTTTGTTAATGTATTGTATCACGTTGATTGATTTGCGGATGTTGAACCAGCCTTGCAGCCCAGGAATAAATCCCACTTGGTCGTGGTGAATAATCCTTTTAATGTACTGTTCGATCCTATTGGCTAGTATTTTGGTGAGAATTTTTGCATCCATGTTCATCAAGGATATTGGTCTGTAATTCTCTTTTTTGATGGGGTCTTTGTCTGGTTTGGGGATCAAGGTAATGCTGGCCTCATAAAATGAGTTTGGAAGTTTCCCTTCCATTTCTATTTTTTGGAACAGTTTCTGGAGAATAGGTATTAATTCTTCTTTAAATGTCTGATAGAATTCCCCTGGGAAGCCATCTGGCCCTGGGCTTTTGTTTCTTGGGAGATTTTTGATGACTGTTTCAATTTCCTTAGTGGTTATAGGTCTGTTCAGGTTTTCTATTTCTTCCTGGTTCAATTTTGGTAGTTGATACATCTCTAGGAATGCACCCATTTCTTCCAGGTTCTCTAATTTGCTGGCATAGAGTTGCTCATAATATGTTCTTATAATTGTTTGTATTTCTTTGGTGTTGTTTGTGATCTCTCCTCTTTCATTCATGATTTTGTTGATTTGGGTCATTTCTCTTTTCTTTTGGATAAGTGTGCCCAGGGGTTTATCAATCTTGTTAATTCTTTCAAAGAACCAGCACCTAGTTTCGTTGATCTGTTCTGCTGTTCTTTTGGTTTCTAGTTCATTGATTTCTGCTCTGATCTTTATGATTTCTCTTCTCCTGCTGGGTTTAGGCTTTATTTGCTGTTCTTTCTCCAGCTCCTTTAGGTGTAGGGTTAGGTTGTGTATTTGAGACCTTTCTTGTTTCTTGAGAAAGGCTTGTATTGCTCTATACTTTCCTCTCAGGACTGCCTTTGCTGTATCCCAAAGATTTTGAACAGTTGTGTTTTCATTTTCATTGGTTGCCATGAATTTTTTTAATTCTTCTTTAATTTCTTGGTTGACCCATTCATTCTTTAGTAGGATGCTCTTTAGCCTCCATGTATTTGAGTTCTTTCCGACTTTCCTCTTGTGGTTGAGTTCTAGTTTCAAAGCATTGTGGTCTGAAAATATGCAGGGAATGATCCCAATCTTTTGGTACCGATTGAGACCTGATTTGTGACCTAGGATGTGATCAATTCTGGAGAATGTTCCATGGGCACTAGAGAAGAATGTGTATTCCGTTGCTTTGGGATGGAATGTTCTGAATATATCTGTGAAGTCCATTTGGTCCAGTGTGTCATTTAAAGTCTTTATTTCCTTGTTGATCTTTTGCTTAGATGATCTGTCCATTTCAGTCAGGGCGTTGTTAAAGTCCCCCACTATTATTGTATTTTTTCAATGTGTTTCTTTGCTTTTATTATTAATTGCCTTATATAATTGGCTGCTCCCATGTTCGGGGCATAGATATTTACAATTGTTATTTCTTCTTGTTGGATAGACCCTTTCAGTAGGATATAGTGTCCTTCCTCATCTCTTATTACAGTCTTTGTTTTAAAATCTAGTTTGTCTGATATAAGGATTGCCACCCCAGCTTTCTTTTGGTGTCCATTAGCATGGTAAATGGTTTTCCACCCCCTCACTTTCAATCTGGGGGTGTCTTTGGGTCTAAAATGAGTCTCTTGCAGACAGCATATTGATGGGTCTTGTTTTTTAATCCAATCTGATAGCCTGTGTCTTTTGATTGGGGCATTGAGCCCATTTACATTCAGGGTAACTATTGAAAGGTATGAATTTAGTGCCATTGTATTACCTGTAAGGTGACTGTTAACTGTCTGTTGTCTGTGTTCGTTTCTGCTCTTTGCTGCTTTTAGGTTCTCTCTTTGCTTAGAGGACCCCTCTCAATATTTCTTGGAGGGCTGGTTTCGTGTTTGCAAATTTCTTTAGTTTTTGTTTGTTTTGGAAGCTTTTTATCTCTCCTTCTATTTTCAATGATAGCCTAGCTGGATATAGTATTCTTGGCTGCATATTTTTCTCGTTTAGTGCTCTGAAGATATCTTGCCAGTCCTTTCTGGCCTGCCAGGTCTCTGTGGATAGGTCTGTTGCCAATCCAATGTTTCTACCATTGTAGGTTACATATCTCTTCTCCTGAGCTGCTC